AGTGTCGGTGTAAGACACGTCGGGGACACGGACACTCTTCGGACACATGTCGGACACATTAAAATGAGTGTCCAATTTTTTTATTATTAAATTTTTTTTAGGACACATGGCCGACACGTTCAGGATACGTTGGGACACGCTGGGAGACACGTTTNTGGGACACGGACACTCTTCGGACACATTAAAATGAGTGTCCAATTTTTTTATTATTAAATTTTTTTTAGGACACATGGCCGACACGTTCAGGATACGTTGGGACACGCTGGGAGACACGTTTTGAGATTTATTTTCAATTTTTTTTGAGAACTTTTCAGATAATTTTATAATTAGGAGTTATTTTTATAATTTTAAAGAGATATGAGTCACAATCATAATATAAAAGAAGTTATAATAATTACATTGAACATAGGACATGAATATAATATAATTTTGGATATGAATACGAACTTATATACAAATGGAATAGTCTTTTAATATGAAAGTACAGTGAGAAAAAATGAGATTACAAAATTGAAGCTCTTGGAATTTGATGAAAATTAGTATTACGAAATGAAATATTTTTAAAGTAAAAGTTGTAGAAGTCATTGATTATTGAATTATGGATGTTAATATTGTATGTGTATTAATATATCTTATATTATACTTTTCATGCAATGATATCATGATGTAAATTTTTAGAATTAGAAAAATAATGAATTAAAAGATTATTATGATAATATTTTAGTTGTATTGGATAATATTATAATTTACTCATATACTATAAATAAGGTGTAGAGCAACTTCAGTGTACACATTATTTTCCTCAATCACTCTCTTTACTTTCTCTTCCCCTCCTAACTCTAACCCTAATATAGTTCTTAGTGTTTCAACTTGGTATCAAAGCAATAATCTAAGATAAAACATCATAAAACACTTGGAAGAAACCGGTGGATTTTTTGATGTCATCAGCAACTATTAGCCATCGGAAAATTGCTGACTGAGTTGACTCTTCAAGGGGGTCCTCCGGTATTTTTGCCAAATTTTTTGAAGACATCTATATAATTTTTTCTATTTTTGAATATTTTCGGCAAAAACAAAAAAAAAATTAGATCTGCAAATTTTTGCACATCTTCTTTAGTTTGGTTGCTTGGATCTACAACCTAGGGTTCTAATTTGGCCTTGGAGGAACTTTGTGAATTGCCCAGTCGTCTGGAAGCAATTTGAACATATTTTTCATGAACCTGAGGTGCAGATCTCACTGTCCTGGGTTTGAACAATAGCGACCAGTTCAGTTGGCTATGTGTGTGATGTTTTCGGACCTCTGTCCTTGTCTAGGTGCTTGTGGGTGCTTGTGAATTTTCTCCAACAGCCTTGGGTCGTCTCTCTATGCTTATGAATTTGCTCCAAAAATCGTTTGTGGTATTTTTCGGCTTTCGGATGGTCTTCCGAGTGTTGTTTGTGTGTGGGTTTGTTTTGGGTTGCTGATTTGCATTTGTCTTTTTTGGTATTGGGTTGCCTATTGGTTTTGTTTGTGTGTGGATCCAAGTGGATCCATTGTTGTCTTGGNTTACCGTATCTCTTCTTGAGCAACACTTCCACTTGGGTCATCCCTCATTTGCAAAAGTTTAAGGCAAGTTATTCCTGATTTAAGTCTTTCTTCTATGTTGGGATATGAAGCGTGTCAATTAGAAAAACATCACTATAGTTCTTTTCCTCCTAATTCTTCAACTCGTCAATCCAATTCATTTCATGCTGTTTATACTGACATTTGGAGTCCCNGCTTATACGTCTGATGATGTTTGTTTCAAGTTTCAGGGGAAGAAGCAGTATGCTTTACCCCAAGCCGTGTACAACTCTAGATGGCATAGACAGTTGATGGGTTGGCTTGCTAGCCTTACCCTAGACGACGAGGTGAGGCAGGAGTTTGGTCTACCTCGGGTTGTGTGCGAGTATGAGGATATTTTTCTGGATGAACTACCGNACATTTTATAATGAAATCATCATTCAATTTGATGTTCGTATTAAAGTTCTTCGGTCTGACAATGCCCTTGAGTATACCCAATTGTTTATGAAAATATTTTGTGCTGACCAAGGCATTATCCATCAAACCACTTGTCCTCATACCTCACAAAAAAATGGCATTGTGGAACATAAGAATCGCCATTTATTAGATGTTGCTCGCACCTCAATGTTTAATATGTATATACCAAAACCATATTGGGTTGACATTATTCTTACTACAGCTTATCTTCCCCATTTTGGACAACAAGTCTTTTTTCTCGTTGTTTTATCCTGGTAAACCATCATTTGGTCTCACTCCTCGTGTCTTTGATTGTGTTGCATTTGTTCACCATTTTGGTCCACGTCGGGATAAATTTTCTCCTCACTCAACTAAGTGTGTTTTTTTTTTTGAGATATTCTCATACTCAGAAATGTTACCACTGCTATGACATTGTTTCTCGTCAATACTATGTTTATTTTGGGGATGTTTTTCTATTTTTATTTTGTTCAATTGTTGTTGGCTTGCAAGCCTTAGAGATGAAGGTAGTGAAGGCTCAACTTGTAGGACTCTACAAAATTCTTGTGAGATCTCTGAATCTCCTTACACAAATAAGTATCAGGACAAATATACTATTGTTAGAGTTCTTATTTATTGTTAGTTGTATTGGGTTGGGTAATATTGTAATTACTCGTATGTTATAAATAAGAAAGTATAGAGCAACTTGAGCTTACACACATTATTTTCCTCAATCTTTCTCTTTACTTTCTCTTTCCCTCCTAACTCTAACCCTCTTATCATTCTTAGTGTTTCAACTATTATTTTGGGAAGTTTTAAAGCATATGACCGGTTACCATGTTTGCTCAAATTTCTGTAAATTTACGGGAATTTAGCAGAATCTTTCCAATTGGTGAGTTGTGAATACATTGCTTACCTTCTTGGTGCTCAAGGGTCATTCAATCAGGTGAAAGCTGAACAAAGGGAGAAAAAGAAATATTGGAAGGTGAAATTTTGATCAACATGTGTTCATATAGGAGAATAGCAAATGGGATTTTCTTTGTTTTGACCCAAAGAAGAAAATACTAGTATTTTTGACATACTTCGTAAAAGTTGCTTCAGTCGTAATTCTGGCTAAAGTTTCTCGGGCCCTTGTTCTAGAAGACAATCATGGACTTAGCCTTAACCATTTTGCAAAAATAGCAGCCGTAGAAAATTGCAAAGTTTCACCAGAATGATGCTGCATCATTACTTTATAGAATGAAATCTTATTAAAAATGGTCAATATTGCAAAAAAAAAGTTTGTTACTCTTTCATCAAAAGTTAACATACTAATCACATGCATCCATTAATGGGCTATGTACAAATAACTTTTAGTATTTTAGCATTATTTCTCCAACGTAAGGATGCCAAGTGAGCGCTCATTTCCTTTTTTGAACCATAATTTAGTGCTAATTTCCTCTTATAGAAGTTGATGCAAAGCATATTGAAAAGTGACTTTCTACAAGCACCTGAGCACCAAAACTATGAAATTATAAACAATACTCTGGTGACAGATATGGAACAGTGAATCCTCTAAATCTTGGCATGCACACCAGTTAATAATGAGTCAGCTAACATGTTATATCGACATAATGCATTTTTCAAAAACACATTTAAAAGACAAGGGCCCCTTAATCTTATTTCCCAGACCATAATAAGTAGTGATTGCTCCACGACTTTTACTTTAAGGATAAGTATCATCATTAAGGATATAGATATGGATCTTCAAGATAGGTAGTAGTTGGTCGTGGTTGCTAAATACGACTTTAATAAACCATGACTTCAAATTCCAGTTGTGTGTAGCAAGCACGACTTGCTCGGGTTCCGGAATAAAATCCCAGATGGCATCTGGTTTTTTCTAGAAGTTTAAAAAATGTCTCAATAATAAATAAACAAGATACAAGAAAGAAAAAAAAAACACTCAAGTGTTCCTAAATGATTAATAAGTGTGATTCCAAAACTTAGACAAGGATAAGCATAGTTCTTGAGTATCAAAATAAAAAGAGAAAAGCATGACTCTGCACGTGAATGGACTCTTCAATAAGAATTGCATTTAATTGCAATGGCTGCACAAGAAGCACGGATACTTCGTTAAGGTCAACAATCGACGTATCCATATCGGATACGATATTCGAAGATATGTATAAAATACACACCAATGTAATTATTAATAAATAAAATATATAAATACTTTGAGGATACTTCTATATGAGGAGAAGCATGTATAATTTTAGTTTTAATCTTTATCCCCTTCTTTCAATCTCACATACTTACATCAAGCATCAACAAAAATTCAAATGACTTCGAAGATAAATTAGTGTTTTCAAGTATTATCCACTATCTCATTTCCGAAGGGTAAATGAGTTGATTACACTATAATCAACTCATTTACACTATAATCTTTATCCCCTTCTTCTAAACAAACATTTTAGTTAAAGTGTGATTTTTATTCCTTTAACTAATCACGTTCAACAAACAATCTAGTTAAATGTTAGTTCTTGTTACTTTAATTAATCTTGTTCACTTAGTTGGTGTACCACAGTCAGACAATAGGTACCTTTTTAAAAATANTTAATCACGTTCAACAAACAATCTAGTTAAATGTTAGTTCTTGTTACTTTAATTTATCTTGTTCACTTAGTTGGTGTACCACAGTCAGACAATAGGTACCTTTTTAAAAATAAAAAAATTGTTAATGTTGTTTATTATTGTTAAAGAATCACTAAAAATTATAACTATCAAATAGTTACATAATAGTATAAATAAAAAATATATTTTTTATAGGTGTATTTTGGCCGTATACATATCCTATTTTTTTGGAATTTGTCATATCTCTATTTCCGTATTGTACTCGTATCTCGAATCCATATCCGTGCTTCTTAGGTGACAGAAAATAGTATTACGTAATATGCAACACTAAATCAGAAATAACTAAAAATGGACTTATTACCGGCATAGGCTCTGCACAATAGGAGACCATATCTCAAGTAAGCTCGAATAATTTAGCATACCTGCTCAAAAGAACGAATGCATAGTCCTCAAGGCCAATCTCACACAGACGCCACTGAACAGAACAAGCAATGCAAAGTACGAATATCAAATTCTATCTTGAATATTTATTTCAATTTTTAGCGAATCATGGGCAATTTAGACAAAATATGATCTTACCTTTTGGCGCATTGCTATTGCAGCATCAGGAGCATCATTTCGAAGACCACTTTCAAGATTTTTTACTATTACTTCTCGCAGACCATTCAAAGATTGCAGCGTTTTGACCAACAGGACTATCTCTTCAGTTTCCAAAACATTGCTCGTTCCTTCCATGTCATCCAAATCCTAGAAATTGCCAAAAGAATAATCTATTTTCACTTCATACAGAAATGCTAATAAACACCCATAAAAATTCCCTAGGTTGGCTTCCCCACCGTGTCAAATGGAACATCTAAATTCCTTATATTCTCTGAGGGATTACGTTCTAGTTGTTGAGACTAAACAATCGTTCTTTCTTCCGTGACAAAGGCAAAAGTAAAGGCTGACCAGGTTGAGGTGGCATAGCACCCAAGAAAATGAATATTCATGAACTCTGTGGCATAATACCCAAGAAAACAAATCTTCGCTTCAAAAAATAAAATCACAAGGGTCCGTCATTAGCCAAAGAAGACTAGCTGCAGCCAAAGCGCTGTACAACCATGAGTAAAACTCTCCATAAGATATTCCTTATGCAACACCCTTTGCTACTACGGCAATGAAAATTTTCTATGAGAAATAAGATGTAAAATTACTCAAATACAAACCAAAGCAAAATGCATGTAAAAACTGTGTGATTAACCATTTCCTCTTTAATTTGACAAAATACTTTTATGTTTCTACCCTTCCATGAATCAAGAAATAAGAAATAAGCTTAGTGTTACAGATTAGCTACATAGTTCACTAATGATATTTTTTCCTTGTCTAAAAGTACTAGAGAATAAAAGCTTCTGATATAGATCAGCACCCATGGTTTCAAACAGCTTCAAGTAAGACATATTAAAAAAATCTTAAAGGATAAGGATACAATCTGAAAGGACAACAATCCAAATCTCATGCAAAGAGAAATATGATACACATTGCCAATAAAGGTGTTATTAGAAGAGAAAAGCGCAAATGACAACAATTTAGATAGGTGGTCAAATAAATACAAAATATGTGGGGATGAGAAGACAGTTAAGCATGACGATGACAAATACAGTGTGTGTGTGTGAGAGAGAGAGAGAGAGATTAGTTGCAAGATTCTACCATACTATGCTAAAACCATCATTGCAGTGTCTTAAATTCTGAGATGGAATCTAAAGGGATAGATGGTATTATTGTTCAAAACTTATCTCCACAAATTACAAATAGATAAATGAAAAAGTAACCTCCAATACCATATTGGTAACAATCACTCCAGCATGCCTCAGAAAATGGGTGTCTTACCCCTATGTCAGTACCCAACAAAAAAAAAATACCTGAAGTATGAGCAGAAACATTCAACAAACTAAATACTATAAAATGCTAATCAAGTCTAAGTTGGATAACATTCACAACTAAATTCTATTTGTATCCTAGTGGACTGCAAAAATGAAAGCACTCAAATAACCTAAAACATATTCCGATAGAACCCCTCATCTTGATCCTAAATATGTCAAAACAAATGTGCCACAAAATTCAGCGGTTCAGCATTTTTTGAAAAGATGCAGCTTAATGTGATCATTGAAATTGAACTATCATCTTCTTAAAGAAATACAGCTCATCAGAAACGTCATCGTTGGGCAAGTGATGCAATAGCTTCAGTTAGAGCAAAGCCCAAAATGACAGTACCAAATGATTGTTTGGCCACTAATGGATGTCGCTCCACGGAATAAATCGAGGAACTAAGAATGTTTGCAATACGGGAAGCAATTGTAGCAACTCCGGCACCCATTGATTTTGCACCTTCTAACATCTCGAGCTGAACTCGAGAATTCTCGTCACCCTTTTTCATCACAATTTTATATTATAGATTCCTTGACGATTCTTCCTCTCGTTCCTTTTTTTTGAGGTATCTCACTTGGAATGCAATGCATTCTTTTCGATCTTGTCCCAAGGTTATTGGATACTAAATGAATTTAAAAACTACAAACAACTACGTCAACAACCTCTATTCCAGAAGTGAACGACGGCTTTCCATAGGGGCTTAGTCAACTAACTACATATATAAACAAATATAACATGCCATATTTCTAAATATTTCAACCAAACTCCTTGTTAGACCAAGTGAACGAGTTCCCGTCCCATTTTGGTTCCACCAAAGCAAGGGCTTCAATACATTCATTAACATCCATGATGAACGGGTTGCTAAGTTAACTATCTGCTTCAAAAAGATGGTTGTAAGAATGAAGCTTCAACCTTCTTTTTTCAATTAGAATCCGGAAACGTTTTGAAAACAAAGTAGAAACTGAAACAAAATTGAGAATTTATTCCCAAAAAATTGCGAAACATTAGTCAAAATATTTAGAAACATCTTGAAATATCTCAAAACATTGTGACACATTGGCAGAAACATGCCAAAATATCTCGGAAAGCCTCAAAATATTCCTAAACAACTCGAAGCACTAAAATTTCGATTCAATCACTGATTCGTTTCGGTCTTCTTAAAAATGAAAATGTTTCGACCATTTAGAAACTAAATTTTGATCATTGACAGCAACTCAAGTTAACCTTCACTCTTTGTACATCAAGAACTAGCATAAACATAATAAGATAGCAGCAATAACACTAAAATAAACATAATACCACTCGAGCAACCTCAATGGCTGATACGTAACTGAAGGATGCAGTAAACCATTGCGTAGATCAAGTTTGGCAAAAATCCATTTTCCAAAACACCTAAAATTGCAGGTTCACTGGTGAGCCAATAATAACTTTCACTAGCACAAACAAATAGATGAATCCCAAACCTCCCCATACATGACACAAAAAAAAATAAAAAAAACAACAAAAAAGTTCTTTTGGTTTCAGCAGCCTTCCATTCCTTTTTCTTGTGCAAATTCCACTTTATATCCGTCTGGTTTGAGTATGTGGAACTTCATCACCTATGGTTTAAGTATAACCATGTAACTTTCACATGGTTTTNCAAAAAAGTTCTTTTGGTTTCAGCAGCCTTCCATTCCTTTTTCTTGTGCAAATTCCACTTTATATCCGTCTGGTTTGAGCATGTGGAACTTCATCACCTATGGTTTAAGTATAACCATGTAACTTTCACATGGTTTTGGACCAACACGAAAAAATAAGCACCGCCAATGACTCTTCGAAGTGACATCATTACCTCACTGTCTATCTCTAACAAATGCTTCATCTTTCACCACCCATTGTTCAGCTACTACCATCACCACCCACTGCCCAACTCCAGCATCACCCACCCCACTACCCAAGCCGTATCTCCTCCAATTCGTAGAAACCCAAGGCTCTATTGCAGCCTGTTATGGGTTTTATCAACCACAATTTGCATAATGCTTTTATTTCCTGTACAATTCAGAACCTTTTAGTTTAATTTTTGGTCAGAGATGTGTTGGAATCATTCCGGAAAGTCACTGGTTCAACCAAGCTTAACAAAACCTGTGGTTTCTTAATTCACCAAAAGCTATGGTTTGTTAAACACAATTTGTACAGGGTCTTAAATCTTAATAGACAGTGATGATTTGCACCTATTGGTAGCACTTCTCACTGGCATCATGACAGAATCAAGTTGGAAGGACACCAGAAAAACTTTTTATTGGTCTGAACCTAGTTTCCCCATCCAATTCCCCCAAAAAAAAACACCGACTTCGGGCAAGTTATTTTTAACTTTCAAATACCCAAGATTAACCAAGAAAATCCGAATCTATGAATATATTTTCCAAACTGATCCCTATTGATGAATTGGGCCAAGAAATAGCAGGATAAAATACTGCTGGGTCAAAACAATTAGAAAAAGAAATCCAGCTGCTTTGTTTTTATTAATATTTTCACACCATAATCACATGGTTTTGATGTAATAACACTTTCTGGTCATCACTTCTTCCCCTAAGCAGTAGATATATATCAATGGAGAGAGAGAAAACGAAGCCCAAGGTCTTCTCTTTCCAAGCCTTTGAGTCTTCCTATTTTGCTACCCCTCTGACAACCAGAGGAGGGATTGCGGGGTGTGTAGAGCAGGGGAATGAGGGGGGTGGAGGGTGTTAAGTTGACGGTTTATTGTTAGAGAGGGAGATCATAGAAGAAGGGTCAACCGAGAGGAGGAAGAAAGTTGTTAACCGTACCTCTCACCCTCAACTAATATATATGTATCACAATAAAAGAAAAAGACCAGTATACCGTTGAGTGGTTCACTTATTACAAGGACACAAATAATATAATGAAATCTGTACTACTCAACAGAGAGTTCTATCTAGGTGAAGGTTCTGATATACTGTTCAGTGGTTCACCTATTAAAAGGACACAAATAATATAATGATATCTATACTACTCAACAGAGAGTTTTCAAGGTGAGGGTTCTGATATAATTTTTATAAACCGAACAACCAGATGAAGAAGAGAGGGAATTTTTTAACTTTCCGTGAAGATTACAAGGGCATATTTGTCCTTTTCCATTGAAATTTGAACATGACTCAAATGTTTCAAATCCTAACCCTCGAATTCAATATCTCTGTATGTTATAGTTAGTGGCAACTTTACATGAGGGTTATATGACTATACTTGAACCATAAGGGGCCAATGTGCTACAAGGCAAACAACAAGAAGCTAAAATGTAATTTGCCTATTTCCTTTTATGAATCTGTTATCCTTTCATTCTCTTCATTCTTGAAACCTTCTTTTCTCACCACGTTTTTTTCTACCATAGAAGAATGAAAGAGTTTTAGCATATAACTGAATATGGTAAAGGGGCCCACCAATGTGACCTTTTAATCATTTCTTTTCATCACCATGCAAAGAAAANCTATTTCCTTTTATGAATCTGTTATCCTTTCATTCTCTTCATTCTTGAAACCTTTTCTCACCACGTTTTTTTCTACCATAGAAGAATGAAAGAGTTTTAGCATATAACTGAATATGGTAAAGGGGCCCACCAATGTGACCTTTTAATCATTTCTTTTCATCACCATGCAAAGAAAAGAAAAAAGGAGATGGAATGACACAGGTTAGGAGTGACAGGCTTCCCATGACAAAAAAAAATGAACATGGTGGAGATTTCAATGTTGATGAATTCTATAAAAATGGAAAAAAGGAACTAAAAATTTTTGTTGCCTCCTACATATTTGACAACTCAACAAAACCTTTATCCTGACTATTTGGAATCATATTTGACTAACTGTTGTGATGGAAATAGCAGCAGAGATCCTGTGAAATAGGAAAGGTTACACTATCTAACTCAAACATGAGTAGAAGTTAAATAAAGAGAGGCCTGACATAAGGATATACTCNATTTTTGTTGCCTCCTACATATTTGACAACTCAACAAAACCTTTATCCTGACTATTTGGAGTCATATTTGACTAACTGTTGTGATGGAAATAGCAGCAGAGATGCTGTGAAATAGGAAAGGTTACACTATCTAACTCAAACATGAGTAGAAGTTAAATAAAGAGAGGCCTGACATAAGGATATACTCTTTGAAATATTCGATAACGTAATCTAGTCTAATCAGGTCAGATCCACTTGTACCTATGGATATGGCTATCTATAATCCAACAGCTTATATTGAATAGACGAAACAATCAAATCACTTTTCTGATAATTAGGAACAACAATCAATCAATTGTTTTCATATTTGCACCGTCGATTCTCTACAGAGTACAAACCAGGCAACTATCAATTTTTGTCAAGCTTTAACTTGTTTAAGATCCATTCTCAACATGTGTTCTGGATGTTTNATTAGGAACAACAATCAATCAATTGTTTTCATATTTGCACCGTCGATTCTCTACAGAGTACAAACCAGGCAACTATCATTTTTTGTCAAGCTTTAACTTGTTTAAGATCCATTCTCAACATGTGTTCTGGATGTTTCCCCTGCTGTAATTTGACACACCTACGATCTCTCCACCAATAGAACTAAAAAGAGTTCACATTAAATAGCCTTCATGAGCCCATAATAGAAGTTGACGGCATCATATACCTTCATACAACCAAGTATTTAAGAAAAAGGAAAGAGGAAAAAAACAAGAAAAACTTGAAGAAACCTTACATGTGCACATTATACATCATAGGCGTTAAATCATTGTAAAATTATGACAAGCCACAAACATAATCATAGAAAAAGAATGATGCTTAATACAAAACATGCACACAAGTGCAAAACTGGGGTTATGCATCAAAATGTAGCTTGGTCAAAAATTTGCACGACCATTACATGCCGAAGAATAAGATTCCCATAATCATCACATGGTGACAGCGAAAGCCAGATCATTTACAAAACGAAAACCAAGAATAAAGGAAAGTCATAATCTACCTTTTTGCACTCCAAAAACAGTGAAAGGGCTGATAAGTTTCTTTCATCCATTGATGCTTTAATTGATTTAAGTTGTTCTGCAAGGCTGCAAAAGTGCATAAAAAATTTAGATCTCAAATCAATCAATTCCAGAAAATTAACATGATATTTCAAATGCAAACAAGCACCGACTTCAGTTCAGATCAACCCCTCAAAATGGTACCTTCAGACACTGCATTTGGTCAAGTTTGTAATAGTATGAATAATACTAGGTTCAAAATATTTACAATTTCCAATTCAGGGTAGCCTTTAGTCAATCTTGAAGTGAAACTGTATCAGATGAGACTATAAGAGAGCCAACAGAAAATTGATAATATCAGGCAAGTGAAATGAATACCTTCTGGCATTTAATCAAAGTTAATTTTCTAAGAACTACCCACAAAAAATTGAGGGAGACTCACTGTATTTAAAAACTTCAGATGTTAGATTCCTAACAAAACCAGAATTGTTAACAAGAAATTAATAGGTTACCTATGTTACCTGGACTCCGGTATTTGTGTCAAGTATAGCTACGCATGTACGAATTTCCTGTCTAACTTTCAAATATTAGAACAGCGCACAGCTTATTTGTTGAAGTTGTCAACCTATAACCTAGGGAAGTAGGGCACAATTGACTACAAACAACGCCTAATGGCAACTTCAATCATTGGGAATTATCATTGTCAAAAAGAAATATGATAAAAAAAAAAATGAATGAGTTTTTTTGTTTAGTAAAGCACTCCAGGAAATTGTCTAGAATGCAAATCGCATACCCATGTCGAGTTTTTGATAACAGAAGGAGCTCACACCATTGGAAGTGTACAAGTCAAATAGTAGGCAGGTAATCAAGTTGATAACTAACACTTGTTTGTTTCTTCATCATAAAAAGCTAAAAGAACTGGATGTCTAGTCAAGGATCAAATTTTCATTTTGAAACAGTTGAAATGTTTTCATTTCCAAGATAACCGAAACAAATCAGCGATAAAATCAAAATTCTAATACTTCAAGATGATTCATAATACTTCGAGATATTTTGTAATGTTTCAATACATTTACACAATTGTTTTGAAATGTTTCGAGGTATTTCAAGATACTTTGGTATATTTCGACCAATGTTTTAGAAAAATAATTCTTAAATTTTTTATTCTTTTCATTCTATTTTCGAAACGGGTCGAAATGTTTCTGAAACACGTTGAAACGTTTTTATTTTCTAGGTGACCGAAATAATGCACTGAAACAAAATTTTGATCCCTGTGTCTAGTTTACATCATACCTTAGATAGACATTATATAACCTATGTTCATGTATTGAAAAGTCATAATAGTTATCTATGTTCAAGGGACCTTTCAAAATGAGTTTGCACATCAAGGACACATAGTGGTATAATCTTCTATCTTTGCAAACTCAAAAGTAGGAGCAGTTATGTTCGGGAATTGCTCAAAATGTTGTAGTCGTAGCCCAAAAAAAGAGGGTTGCATACATTAGACATACATATATCACCGTAATCACTNCAGTTATGTTCGGGAATTGCTCAAAATGTTGTAGTCGTAGCCCAAAAAAAGAGGGATGCATACATTAGACATACATATATCACCGTAATCACTTGTTAACACGGCAAGCAACATTATAAAGATTGTTAAGAATAATAGAGTAGTAGTATGTGTAAATTGTTAACAGTAAAAGGGCTATGTGTGTTATTATTATTATTTTAAGTTAACTATAAATACAAGTTATGTATGAGAGCTAGGTTAAGTTTTCTAACCTCTCTCTTTCTCCCTAATATTGCCTCTAATATTGTGTTATATTAATTCTCTTAACTTAACATGGTATCAGAGCATTAATCTTGGTGT